CTGACCTTGCCCCGGTCCTTTTCAAAAATAAGGACCTCAGGAAATATGTCTTTCGACGCCTGGGTCTCCTCAACTGAGTTAACCAGCTTCCTGATGTTGTCTTTGGTGCCCCGGATAGTGGGACCCCCACTGGCAAAGCCGCCTGCTATTGTGAAGATAGTCTCTTCATCCGTTTCTGAATTTGCAAGAACAACTTTTGCCGCCTGCCCTTTCTTGGCCAGGGTGTTGCCCTTGGCTTTGGGCAGGTAGGACTTTAGAGCCCCTTCATCAGCCAGACGGTCTAATAGCCGCCTGAGGCTATAGCAACCATTAGTGTCATGGCCAACATCCTCATGGTACTGGCAGTATTTGCTTTTGTCCCGGCTGCCTACAGGACTTTTCATAACAGCCGGCTTGTCGAGAGACATCCGGTCCTTGATCTCCATGAGGATGGAGGAGCAGTCTTTTGTGAACTCGTACTTGGGGACGTACGGTTCAAATTTCCGTCTGAGCTTCTGAGCCAGCTGACCAGACCGGTCTGCCGCCCAGACCTCCTTTCTCTTCTTTTCTTTCTTTTTAGCCGGCTATTGTTGTTGTTGCCGGCTGTCTTTTCTGTCGGATTTTTTGAAATCCGACGACTGCATTACAGCACAAAGCTCCGTCGCCTGTACGTAGGCTTCAGCTTCCATTAACGCCTCTTGGAGGGTGGCTACCCTTTTCCGGACGAGGTCAAACTTGAAAGTCGACCCATCCTTCAGACCTTTAAAGAAGTCTGTGTAAGCCACCTCATCAGGCAGTCCTTGAATCTGAATTCTCATCAGATTGAACCGCCTGACATACGACCGGAGTCCTTCTCTGTCACCCTGCTGTATTGCCCCCAGATCGAGGCTTGTCTTTTTAGCCGGGATGTTCATTGAGAAGTTTGACGTGAACAAGTACGCCAAGGTCTTGAAGCTGTTGATGCAGCCGGCTGGTAAGTTACCAAACCACCGTTGGGCAATGCCCTTCAGAGTAGCCGGGAAGCATCGGCACCAGATGGCATCATCCAACCCCTGTAGGTACATGAGGTTGGAATAGGCCATTAAATGATCTTTTGGGTTGGAGGTACCATCATAGGCCCCTACCAACACGTTTTTGATCTTGGCCGGCTGTGCCGCCCGGGTTATCTCAGGGGAGAACGCCGAGGGTTGTTCTCCCAAGTTTAGCAGGCGCTGCTGCCAGTCCATGAGTTGAAACGGCTGCTGCACATTTCTGCCAAACGGACCTGTTTGGGTAAAAGGGGATCCACCCAGCCCATTCGGCGAACCGAACAGACCAGGTTGGATCACTTTGGGTCCAGACCGAGCGGATGGTTCGCCCGTCTGACTCCCTAGACTTGTTCCCGTACGCCTGTTAGAGGTGTCACGGAAACTATCAGGAAAGGTCGACGTTGAAGCCGACGCAGACGCCAGACTTCTCTTCTCTTGGAGAAACGTCCGGGCGTCAGAAAACACCTTTTTGGAACCATCCGGCTGCAAGTGTCGGATGGGTTTTCTGGGCTCTACTTGCGGGAAGCGGAGCCGATTTTGATCGAACCGAAGGCCTTCCCCCTCCTTCGGCTTTGGATGAGGGGTAGGGACTCGGTCTTTAATATCCTTCTTGCTAGAAGAAGGCTTCCTGGCCGGCTGACTCTTCTTGGGAGTAGCTGACCGGATAAGGTTCTGGATCTCTCCCTTGAAACTATTCATGAAGGTCATGAGTTCGTTCCTAGTAACGGGAGCAGAATCCTCTGCCGTCTGGGTAGCCCCAACCGTGTTGCAGGCTGGGTTGCTTTGAGCAACTTGGGTGTTTTCTCGTTCCTTCTTATCCCTGGAACGGGTGTGCTTTGTTCTGAAGGACCCGTCTGGGGCCACATAGGTGTTGAGTTCGTACTCATCACCGCTTTCATGGTCCGTCTGGACCTCAGGCTCAGCCGATGGCTGCCTGTCCTGATCCGGTGGTACAGGGTTAGAAGCCATCTCAGAAGTACTCTCCCCACAGACAGCGCCAAATGTTTCGGGGTTTTTTGATGTGTCCTGCGGGAGAGTTACAATTCCAAGAATGCCCTTCGACCGCCTGTACCTGCAAAACCACGAAGACTCCGGTTGGGTGGAGCTCCGCCTCCGACGATCAAGTCAGTGATGTACGGGAGGAAGAAAGTGCGTAAAAGAGTAATTACTTCTCGCGTAATGGGAGAATTCCGCAATTAAGATTGCTCGATTTTAGTGTAAAATGTATTTATGATCGTATTGAATGCCAAAGGATTGTAAGTGTATTCTAATAGAAGGAATTGAATTCCCATTAATGAGGATTCTCCCACTATTTATAGTGGGGAGCATTGGTTCCCCATTTAGGATTCCTAGGACACGTGTCAGCAGGGGATTAGAGCCCTGCTGACCAATGGCGAGATGCCACGTGTCGCGCTCCATTGGACCATGTGGCTGGGGTTAAATTACCCCAAACAAGGGGCATGAGTGAAGAGCGAATCATGCTTAGTTTCCATAAGAATATGATGTGTTTTAATTGCTTGAATATTATTTATTTTATTATGCTCATGAGACTAACATGAAGGTTTTCAGTATTGTTTGGTTTTAAGGGCCTACAATGGTTCCAAGTTGTAGGTTGACTTTGTTTGACTTTGGTTTGATTTTACTTTCGTTTTATTTGACTTTTTGTTAGTTGACTTGTTTTGAATGGTTTTAAAGATAGTCTTCCGCTGTGTGTCTTTGATATTTGCCTTAGCCATCTTCACGGTGGCGGTAATGTCTGATATGTTCATTTTATATAATGATTTATCCCCGTCCCTTGGTCATATTTAGGAGTATTATTCGCTCTTCGGAGTCACTTTTATTACTAATATGTGTTTTCTAGTGTTTTCGTAGTTTTGTTACTGTTTTATAGGAAATTGCAGATTTTTGGCATTTTTCCGGAGTTATGTTAAGCCACTACGAGCATTAGAGAATTATGACCGTATTTTATAGCCCAAGACCGGTTGGAGTCGTCAAATCGGTGATTAAGGGCTTGGCAAAGAAGAAGAGTTCGAGGCAATGGACCGTGTTTCAAGACCCAAGAGGAAATTTGGATTGGGCCAAGAAAATAGCCCAATTGAGATGTTTATGGTTGCCCGAAGAGCTCGCCCGACCGGGTAGGCCCTCGCCCTAAGGCGCGCCCGGCTGGGCGAGGCATATAGAAGGAAAAGAGGCTTCGCCCTGACGCGCGGCCGACCGGGCGCGAGTGAAGTCTAAAGGCTCAAAAAGGCGGCCCCGGCCGGGCGAAGCTCCGCTCGACCGAGCGCGTGTTTCTGAAGAGTTTAATGATTTAATTTGTTTTATCTTTTTAGCCTAAGTATAAATACGTTTTGTTTTAGGAAGTTGAGCACGTTTTTACACTCTTTACTTAATTTTCGGATTTAATTTAAGCTTTTGGGTTAATACTCTTATTTTTCTCTCTACACCTTTGACTTATGCAATTGATTATTTCCATTAATTTTGGTAACGATTTCTTCCTCCTTTATTTTCAGTAATTTAATTACTTTGATTTAATATGCTTTGTTTAATTGCTTTGCTTAGTTTAGATTTTAATATGTGTGAGAAGTTTCATACTAGGGTTTATGGGGATCCATAAATAATATGAAGGGGTAATTATTTATTGTTGATTGTTAATGTTTCAGATTAATTTCCCAATGATTGGTTTACTACTATGCAATTAGATTAGCGCTGGTTTAATTGTATGAGTTATACAATATTAATTCGAGATTCGAGAGATGAGAATTGATGTTTAGGCTTAGTTTCAATAGGAAGGTTAATTTATAAATGGTTAAGTCAAGATTCGAGAGATGCGATTTAATACCGGTAGATTAATTCTGTGATTGTAATACGTAGCGAAAGCCCTTTATGATCTGATTAATCTATGCATTGATGATTGATTATTATGTTCTTACCCTGGAATATTGTTTATTGGTGAACCTATACCCTAGGCTTTTTATTATTGCTTTCCTCCCTTATTCAACTTGCTTTAGTTTAATTATTAGTTTAATTCTCATTAAAAACAATTTGGTTACTTGATAATTTAGATTATTTTAATTAATTAGGAATAGAAAGACTTGTTTCCCTGTGGATTCGACCCTACTTCCCTATCTATTTTAGTTAGTGGTTCTAGGAATTACTTTTGATTAGGTGATACGACTTTAGCCTATCAAAGTTTGGCGCCGTTGCCAAGGAAACGGTTTTATTTTTATTTCTGATTATTATTGTAGTCTAGACTATTTTTCTTTAGTCTTAGAGAACGCAAGTTCTTTGGGACAGTTCTCATACTTGTTCGTTTAGTTTTGTGTTTATGCCCAGGAGTTCTAGATCATGTTACATCCCATTCGATCCTGAAATCGAACGTTCTTTTCATAAGCAGAAGAAACTTTTTAGACAGGTACGAGCTACTTCGGGGGTACTACACCTTTGGAACCCCATCTGATTCTAGCGATACAGAAGTTTCTTTAGAACTAGAACCAGAGATGATGGCTCAACCACCTCGTAAGCTCAGCGATTATTCGCAGCCGTCCTTGGCAGACTTTCCACACCTTGCCCCCGCACCAAATCTCGAGGGAGTACAATTCGAGATTAAACCCCAGTTTATCACTATGATCGAAAGGAAGCAATGTAGCGGAACTAAGGGTGAAGATCCAAATCTTCACACCTTGGATTTTTGCCATTAGACAAGCTGGGGTCACGCAGGACCAAATCAGGGAGATTCTTTTTCCCCTTTCTTTATGTGGTAAAGCTAAATTATGGTATAATGGATTGAATAGAACTGCACTTGGTATTAATGACTGGGAAAATCTTGTTTTGAATTTCTATAACAAATATTACCCTGTAGAGAAAACAACTTTGATAAGGAGTAAGATCCTAAATTTTTCCCAAGAAGCAGATGAATATTTATATGAAGCTTGGGAAAGATTTAAGGATTTGCAGAGAGAATGCCCCCATCATGGGCTAGCACAGTAGCAGATAATGCAAGCTTTCTACAACGGGCTTGGATATAATTCAAGAATAATTTTGGACTCTGTAGCTTACGGAAGATTTATGAATTTAGATGTGAATATAGCGAGTAATGTTGATAAAGAGATGGCTAGCTATTCCTAATTCCCAATATGGGAATCCAAAAGGATTTGCAAATAAGGGAAAGTACCAAGTTGATTCTATATCCTTTTTGCAAGCACAATTGACTGCTATCAGCTAGAATCTAGACAATATTAATAATTCTAATTCATCTTCCGTTGCTAATGTTTCTGCTATTGGTACTAATTCTACAATAAATTGTGAAAATTGTGGTCTTGTAGGTCATATGGCTCAAGAATGCACCAGTTCGCTTGAGAAGATTAATTCTTTTCAAACCTATAAACAAACTAGTCCATACTCTAACAGCTACAATGCAGGGTTGAGAAATAACCAAAATATGTCGTACAATAGTATGAATGCGCCTAACCCCCCACCACAGGTACAACAACCGCAGTAGAGATACTATCAACCTCCACATCAGAGACCACAACAGACTGTTCCTACTCCTTCTGATTTTGGCTTAGCAGAAATCAGAACGATGTTAGTTGATATGCAGAAACAGATGCAGAGTAAGGATGCACAAATTGATTCGATTCTAGATCATAATAAAATCATGGACAATCAAATTGCGCAACTTTCCTCTGCTCTACAAACTAGCAAGGAGCCCTACCACCGCAGCCAGTACAACCTACAGATCACGTGAATGCAATTACCCTGATAAGTGGTTCGAAATACGATGGGCCTTCTATGCCCAAAGATGATGAACCTATCATTACAAATATTGCTAATCCTGATTCTGTTATACCAAAATTGTCACTAGCCCTACAGGGCTCCAGAGTAAAACTAACTATTCTGATGATACATTGCAGGGTATAACTCCAAAGAAGGATAAAAATCAAGACAAGAATGGAGATGTACAAAAACCAGTTATCAAACTACCATTTCCAAATAGACATCTTAAGAGTAAGCTAGATAAGCAGTTTGGTAAATTTATGGAGGTTGTCAAGAATTTGCAGGTGACAGGCTAAAGTCGTATCACCTAATCAAAAGTAGTTCCTAAGTCTCTAGCTAAAGTAGATAGGGAAGTAGGGTCGAATCCACAGGGAAACAATGTTCTTTTACTCCTAATCAACTATTATAATCTAAATTATCAAGTAACCAATTTGTATTGTGAGAATTAAACTAACAATTAAACTAAGCAAATTAAATAAGGGGATAATCAATAATAAAAGGCCTAGGGTATAAGTTCACCAATAAATAATATTCCAGGGTAAAACATAACAATCAATCATCAATGCATAAATTAATTAGATTATAAAGGGCTTTCGCTACGTATTATAATCACAAAATTAACCTACCGGTATTAAATCGCATCTCTCGAATCTTGACTTAACCATTTATAGATTAACATGCTTATTGAAACTAAGCCTAAACATTAATTCTCATCTCTCGAATCTCGAATCAATATTGCATAACTTATACAATTAAATCTGGACAAATCTAATTGCATAGCATTAAATCAATCAATAGGAAATTAATTAATCATTAATAATCAACAACAATAATTTACCCCTTCAATTATTCATGGATCCCCATAACCCTAGAAATAAATCTACTCACTCATAATCAAATCTAAGCTAAACAAAATAATAAAAAAAACATAATTAACCAAAGCAATTAAATTACTGAAAATAAAAAGGAAAGAAATCGTTACCAAATTAAATGGAAAGGATGAATTGCATAAATCAAAGAATGTAGAGTGAACAAGATTATCAAGAACAAAGCTTAAGCAAAAATCTGGAAATTAATCTAATGAAAAACATAATCGTCGGTCTAAAAAACGTCATACAATTTAAGCAACTCAAAGTATTTATACTAAGCTCCTAATACTAATTAAAGAAAAAGCATAAAACAAATTAATTCCTAATGAAAACACGCGCCCGATCGGGCGAGGCACCGCCCGGTCGGGTGCGCGTCCGGGCGAAGCTCGCCCTTTACTATCTCCCTCGCCCGGTCGGGCGCGCCTTTGGGCGAAGCCCTGCCCGATCGGGCGAGCTCCCGGGCAATGGATTACTTCAACTCTTTTGGGCTAGTTTTCTTGGCCCAATAAGATTTCATCCTTGGGTCTTGAATTACGGTCCAATGCCCGAGCTCTTCTTTTCTTCACCGAGCCCTTAATCACCGGGTTGATTTCTCTAACGCTGCCCTGGGCTCCGGAATATGATCATAGTAACGCGTTTCGCTCCAATGCTCGCGGTGGCTCAAATAAGTACGGGGAAATGCTCCAAAACTGCAATTTCCTGTAAAATAATACCACGACTACGAAAACGCTAGAAAACATATATTAGTAATAAAAGTGTCTCTAAAGAGCCAAAAATACTCCTAACTATGACCAAGGGACGGGGATAAAATACTACATAAAATGAACATATCAGCAGGTAATGGTTCCTTTCATAAAATTAATTACTCAAGTTCCTGCATATTCTAAATTTATGAAAGAAATCTTGACCATGAAGAGATCTATTAGTGAGGTAGAGACAGTTGCTTTTACTGAAGAATGTAGTGCTATATTACAGAATAAATCTCCACCTAAACTAAAAGATCCGGGTAGTTTTTCTATTCCTTGTCACATTGGTAATCTGATGATTGATAAAGCTTTATGTGATTTGGGTGCTAGTGTAAGTGTCATGCCATTATTTGTGAGCTCTAGATTATATATGGGAAAGCTACCAATATTACTCTGCAAATGACCGATCGTTCTGTTAAATAATACCCCTTAGGTGTTTAGAGGATGTTCCTGTTAGAGTAGGTAAATTTTATATACCTGTTGATTTTGTTGTTCTTGATATGGAGGAAGATTCACAAATTCCGATTATTTTGGGTAGACCATTCCTTCATACTACAGGGGCAATAATAGATGTGAATAGTGGTAAACTTACATTATGTGTAAGGGATGAAAATATTACGTTTAATCTACATAATGCCCCTAAAAGCCCCATTCTAGAGGAAAAATGCTTTAGTATCGGTGTGGTTGATGTAAATAATTTCTCTAATAAGCCCCAAGCTCTCGTTAGAGATCCCTTGGAGCCGGTATCTTGTGTTGCATCTTCCGCAGGAAAAACTACTACATGGAAAGATGAAGTGGATGGTATAGAAAGAGCTCTAAATTGTGTAGGGCTTGGGTTTGAAGATGAACAAGTGGAGAAAAATGAACAAGTTGCGAAAATTGAGCTCGTAGTCAAAGTCCCACCCGATCGGGTGGCATTTGCTCAATCAAGCAAAATTACGAAGAAATCCAAGGCCAAAGAGAAATCTCGAGCAGCTAATAGCAAGAAACCACCTGTCTTATATCAAGAACCGGCTACGATTGGTGCAGTTGAATTACTTCACCTAATCGATTCCATCCCATCTTAATTGACATTTGGGGTAAGATGTGTAGGGTTTCGTAGTGACCCGACACTACGCGGAAGGAAACCCCCCAAGACCCGCCCCTTAATTAAAGCAATTAACAAGCATAATAAACTTAATCAAGCAAGACTAAGAACAAGAATTATACCTTTGTTGCGTGCTTCGCTCCCGAAGAGCTCTTACTTAAAAATCCCGAAATTACGAGATCTCCGACAGATCGTACCCTCGACCCGACCCGAGCGTCCCAAGTCTTGAAGGTTAGTCAAGACCCGGACAAACAAAACTATGAGTTTTACGAATCAAAGGTTTACTCTAATTACAAGAGTTGCCTTTTTAATTCCACTCAAGATTGTGTCTTCCCAATACCCATGCCTTTGGTATTTACAGGGAAGAGCACCCTTGATTTTCAATCTCCCATCAATGTGGGAGAGTTGGTAAAATCAACAATTTATTTGATTCCAAATTAAATAAATAATCAACTTAATCACATTGCGACAAGTGGCACAATCACGTGCTTGAGTGATGGCCAAGGCTAGGTGGGGGGGACCATTTGCCTTGCTCCCCAAGGCCCTTGATTTGGTCCCCACAAGCAAGCACAAAATCAGGTCAAGGAGGGCTGGCTAGCTGCCAGCTAGCGTGCCAGCTAGCGCTGCCAGCTAGCACTGCCTTGCTGCCCAGCATCCTAGCTAGCCAGTGCGTGCTGGTGCTGGGTTGTGCTGGTGCTGGGCTGTGCTGGTGCTGGTGCTTTGTGCTAGCGCCTAGCGCTGCTAGCACAACGTGCTGGCGCTGGCCCCAGCAGCCCACGCACTTGCTAGCAATGCACATCCTACGCACCATACGCATCTGCCTCGCTGCACCTCTCGCACACGCACATGCCTCGCACCATACGCACCTACCTCGCACCACGCACTAGCCTCGCACCACGCATCAGCCTCGCACACACTCACCAGCCTCACACCACGCATCCTCTAGCAGGCTGGGTGCGTAGCGATGCTGGGCTGCTGTGCGTGGCCTAGCAATGTGCTGGCGCCCAGGCCCTCGCACACGCATGGTGTGCTGCTTGGTGCTGCCATGCGAAGGCTAGCACGCAAGCCAGCACGCATGCTGCTCCGATGCAAGGCAAGCACCCATGCTAGACTTGGTTCTAGCGATGGTGCTGCCATGCTAGGCACGCACGCACGCCAGCACCTAGTGCCAGCAATGGTGTGCCTGGTGCTTGCGATGGGCTGCCGGGTGCTCCTGGTGCGCCTAGTGCTTGCGACAGGCTGCCAGGTGCTCCTGGTGCGCCTAGTGCTTGCGATAGGCTGCTAGATGCTCCTGGTGCGCCTAGGGCTTGCGAGGTGCATGCTAGCTCGAACTAGCCTAGCATCCACATGGTTAGACCATTGTGGTGCTACGGCTACGCTCGTACTTGTTGCTTGTGATTTTGCGACGCTCGGCCTCGACGCCCTAGGTTCGATATCCGACGTCTGTATTCGTAAAACTCTGTCGACTCATTAAATCCTTTCGGATTAATTCGTCGTCTCGGATCGGTGATTCGATTGGGTTCGACCCGAAGGGTTCAGTTAAGATTAAGATATAATATCAATTGTACCTTGATATTACTGATCGGAAGCGGCCTCCACCTAGGCATTCCGATCACTTGATCTTACTGAAGAATTAACTCTGTAATAATTCTGAACCCTCTATCGGAAGAATACACTTGTTGGAAGGATACAATTCCTTTCAATCTCCCACTTGTCCTTCCGAACAAGTGTGCATACAGTGTATAGCCCATTTCCTATGTCTCTTAATGTTTCTTCGTGAACTATAAGGTAAGATTCATCGTCATCCTTATTATGTTCAGAAGTGTTTCTCGATCTCCGAGTTCGACTGTCAATAAGCAGATGATTTCTAAAATCCATCTGAGCACGGCCATGCATTTTCACAGTCTCGCTCTTCGAGCGGCTTTGTAAACAACAAAACATTTTCCCTATTGTTAATAGGGGAACAATCCCAGTCTTGCATTGTAAGTTCCTCTTACTAAGAGGACTTAGTCTTTCGAGTGTTTCCGTTATGATCCCCAGTTACGGTAGACGTTAGGAAACATCAAAGAGTCTAGTACTCAAACAAGAAAACTTCACAATACTCATGGTCGGAGGAAACAGGTTCCGATAGTTATAATGAGAAATGTACTTATGACAATTTTGAAATTTCTTAAAGTACTCTCATAGGTCTTATCCAGTACAGTTCCAAACTGTACCTGTGCAAATGGTTTATGACTGTCACGTCCTCGCAGCACAAGAAACAGTGTTGTAAATCATACTACACACTAATCTATGGCGGTCATCAATCGTCCATCTGTTAGATGACCTCGATTAGGGACAATTTTCGATTTAAATATTCAATGTTCACTTAACAGGTGTTTCTTTATCCAAGACATGGTCTTGATACCCTGTTTTGAATATTTCCGTAAATCGAATGGACTCATTATTTAATTCTAAACCACAATTAAATAGCAATGGAGTGAATGATATTTTTGCACAAAATTAATTACTCCATAAATGAATGGTTTCATTACAGTGTCTTACATTAAA